TGACCGTTCCCCCTCCCCCCCTCCACTCCAGCGGTGAAATGTCCCTCGATGTCCTCATGTCTAACAGCTAGACGTGATGACATCACAGGTTCTCATACCGCAGGAGCCCAGGGGAGAAGAGTCTGTGGGGACCGGTCTTTGTACCTAGAGAAAAACAAGCAGTCCACCCTTGCATTGCGAGGTATCCCCACTGCAAGGGTTAATTTTCTGGGGAAAAAATTTAATTCTTCTTTAAGGATCTTGCAAGTGCAGACAAAATCCAAGTCCGAGATAAGAACTAAGGGGTGTAGGGGCTTTTTTTTAGTTCGGTTAAAATCTGGAACTCACTGCCACCAGTAGTGGTATCAGCAGAGAGTATTGAATCATTCAAAAAAAAGTGTACATGTACACTTAAAAACAAGATCACACAGGGACTCATGTACACGCACGCACGCACACACGCACACACACACACACAAAGGTTGAACTTGATGAACCTGTGTCTTCATTCAACCTCAAATGCTATAACTATGTAACTGGAGGGCCTGATTACTCTGCTGGAGATAACATAGGCAGAGAGAACAGGACAAAGAATAGTTCTAAATTTCTGGCAGAATCAATACTTATCCAACATAGCAAAGCACTTTCAATTATATATTTGAGAGACCAAAAGAGAGCAAATAAGAAAAATGCATTGCTAGGGTTTACATAGAATTCAATGGTAATATAAACAGTCATGTGAAAAGAGAAGCACACTCCATGGATAGTGTTGTCTTTTACAACCTCTCTGAGCAGGCAAACATTAGATCTTCATTCAAACATTGCCTATAGATTAAAAAAAAGAATGTACTTGAATAAAAACACATGAAAATAAATTGAATTTCCACTCATTTATTCAACAAAAAAATCGAAATGGTGTACTGTGTAAAATGTAAGCCCGCCCCTGGCATCAGAAGCTGGCATTGCATCCTTTAGCAGAAGTGACCTATTGCTGGCATTTTGTATAACTGCCCACCAGTCTCTGACATCACAATGATATCTGTTATCGTATTTTTTGATCAAGACTCCATGCAAAATTCCTTCAGTTGCAAGATGTTTGTGGGTTTCCTTACATTAAGTGCCATTTCTAAATTCTCTCTACATCATTTTAAAGGGAATCAAATCAGGGTTTTGGGTAGGGCAGTCCATAACTCCTCAATCTCTTCTTTTTAAACATCTGTTGGCGGATTTTCTAGCATGCTTTGGATCATTATCATGTTGAAAAGTAAATTCCCAGTTCAACTTTAACTTTTAGACAGATGAGCTCACATTCTAACCAATCACGCTTGGAGCAGTTGCCCATAGTAACTAATCAGCTTCTATTTTTACATTTTAAAGCTTAAAGTGACATTAAAGTCAAAAATGTGTTTCCCTCCCTCCAATGTTAATGTCAGCACTTACCTTAAATGAGGTTTCTTAATCCAATCTTCTTCTTCTTCTTTCCTGATGTTTTCATCTGTTCCTCCAGCGGTGTGGCGGCTCTCCGATCCAGCGGTGACTCCTCTCTGCTTGCAGGCACTTCAGATCCAGCGGTGTCTGCATGAGGGTGCACGCGTCCATAGACTTACCTTGCGTCTGAGCATGCGCCCGTCCTCAAGATGCTTTGCGGCCGCTCGATCAGTTTCGAATTCTTGGGCGGAGCGCGCTACAAAAACAGGGTAAGTTTAAACCGCTGTTAAAGCGGTTTGTTTTTTAAAAAAAACGTTTCGCCTATATCTACTGCTTGCTAGCAGTAGATATAGGCAAAAACAAATGGAGGGTTTAGGACCCCTTTAACTGAACAAACAGAAGAGATAAGCTGATTGGTTACTATCGACGACTGCTCCAGTTTTAATAAATTCCCCTTCATGGACTTTGGGACTGAGCATGTGCTCTGCTGATGAATTGGCAGATGGAACCTGGCTGCTATGGGAAATGCGTCTATGTCTCCTTCCTGGAATGGCATGGATCTGCCGCAGAACCTTACCACTGCTGAGATTCATCACTTAATAGGCAATCTTTAAGTTTTTCTTCTCTGAACACTTTGATAAATGTTAATCAAAGGTGGAAGTTAATTCCAGATCACAAAGGTAAACTGTGCACCTTCAGAAATAGAACATTCAAACTGCACATGATGCTCTTTTAAAAGGCCAAATGTGTATCCAGCCTTTTACACCTCAGCTAAATAATTGTTTTCTACACAGGCAATTAACATTTACTTTCCCTGACACTGCAACGCAACCAGCAGGTGCTGATGTGGAATAAACTGAACAATGTGATAAATGATGATGATATATACATACATACAAACTAGGGATAGTGAGCAACATGTATCCCCCGTAAACCCTTCTATTGGGTGCCTGTCATTAGTAGATTCTATTCCACCGATTTCCATATAAATCACCCCAACAGCTCAGCACTCCTTCATATATGCAGATGGTTTCTTTATTGTTCCATATGTTTGTACATGTAATGATTTATATCTAGGAACCTATGTACCAATAAACAAACCAATTGCATTGATGAAGGAGTGCCGAGCATTTGGAGTATACATACAGTATACTGCCTGGTCAAAAAAAAAAAGTCACACAGTCTTATATTCCATAGGACCTCCTTTAGCCTTTGATTACGGCACGCGCTCGCCATGGCATCGTTTCGATAATCTTTTGCAATGTCACAACATTTATTTCCCTCCAGAGTTGCATTCATTTTTCACCAAGATCTTCTAGTGATGATGGGAGAGTCAGACCTCTGTGTAAAGTCTTCTCCAGCACATCCCAAAGATTCTCAATGGGGTTAAGGTCTGGACTCTGTGGTGGCCAATCCATGTGTGACAATGACGTCTCATGCTTCCTGAACCACTCTTTCACAATCTGAGCCCGATGAATCCTGGCATTGTCATCTTGGAATATGTCCAATGTGCCACCAGGGAAGAACAAATCCATTGATGGAAAAACCTGATCATTCAGTATATTCAGGTAGGAAGCTGACCTCATTTTTTGGGCACATAAATTTGCTGAACCTAGACCATTTTTATTGATGGTTGTGTCCCCAATAGGGAGAATCACCCTCTTTTTTGTCCTGGTGACCATTCTAATTGAAAGTAAATGAAAATCTGAAATTTTGGGTTGTCACCAAAACAGGACTAGATGGGAAAACTTCCTATGGGAACACTAGTTCTGGTGACCCTATTGTCCACCAGGGATTTCCCTCACTTCAGGGGAATTTCCTCTCACCCTGGTGTGGCTACCAGGCAGGAAGTGAAGGGAAATCTCCGTAATGGGACACAGATGGCAAGCAAAGATGTGACAGGGATCATAACCCTCTCTTACGCTATCCGGGTTAGGGTATCCAGATGTTAGGGAGGGAGCGGAGTCCCCATGTTTGCTGGAGTGGAACTCAATAGCAGGGAACAATACCAGAAGGAGAGTCCACACTGAGGTACAAAATAGGAGAATCCGAAATGCTGTGTCAGAGTTTAGTCTGGGTCGAGGCAGGCAGCAAGTAATATAAATGGGAAGTCAAGCCAGGGGTCGATAACCAGGAGATCCAAATAGCGGGGGGGAAAGGCAGGAAACAGGAAAACAGGAGATGAGGCTATGTAGCTGCTTTGGGTATGGCAGAATAACTGAGCAACAAGTCTTGGCTCTGGCTAGAATTTAAACCCAGCAGGGACCAGAAATGCCCCCATTGTCTGGGCAACGAGGAAGCTACAGGTCCCTGGGAACCAATGGGATGGCTAGGAGAGAAGGTGTGCTTGCAAGGCCCTCCCTGGCAATGATCAGCAGCTAAAGTGACTAATAGGCCACGGCAACGCCACGCGCGCATGCATGTGCACCCGCAAAAAGCCGCCACTAGGCACAGAATCACCGCAAGAAGGACTCTACAATCTCCGTCGTGCCCGCTGGACCCCAGGTAAGAGAGCACCCCTGGTCCCACAACACCAGAACTAAAATGAAAAATGTTTTGGGTTCTACTTAAACGATAAAGCTGAATTCTAGGCAAACAGCTAAAAACATTTTCTGCAAGTACAGAAAGATACCTATTGATCATGACAGAAATCATGCACCCTTGTAATTTCCTGTGCACAAATCACAGAGAGCAACCTAAGGTCACAGTGGTGCTCCTTCATAAGCACAATACAATGAGTGAGCGTTGTCACCCTGGGGCAGGAAGTGCGTCACTGGCACGATCATCAAGTGAAAAAATAAATTATGAAAACGAGTGCAGCCTCCACATCTCAGGTCTGGAAAGCTGCAATATATACAAATGTTGTCTTTGGAAAAGATACATTTTAACTTTTGAGTTAAAGTTTAAGTTTCATAGTGGGTGCTATTGCTTACACTTTGTGAAGATTGTAATAAGTAAATCCTAAAATCTGGTTGTCCAATTAATCAGTATGATGGGCAGATGGAAGAGAACATCTTGAACTGATTTTGGAATTCATATTTAGGAAGCCGAAGTCGGGATTCATACTGAGTGTACCAGAGCCCAATAATTTTACCTGGTGGGAAAAAAATAATTGAGATGCATTTCCTGCATACAACATGTTAGTAAATAGATCAGAATG